ACCTTCGATTCGAGTGTGCTAACGGTGTTGGTGACGTCAGTACCGTGAGAGAGTAGCGCGTTGATAATTTGACAAAGATAGACAGCCGAAATTTAGACAGCGCCACGGAACGACTAATTAGCGTACCACGGAGACGTCTTCGGCTGTCAATCGACACAGTCTAACACCGACTTCTGCCCTGAACACATCGGCTCCCGATCGTGTCCGTTCAGAACTCGAGTACAATTCGAAAGAATATATTCTTTCGGATTAAGAATATAGACTACCATTGAAAAAGAGTGTACCGAGCAGTCGTTCAGTTTGGCGTGGGTTAATCGATAGCCCACGCACAGCTGCAAATTCATAAGACTCGAAAAAGTGTGGAATTTATTCCCATTTTTGCTTATTACGCGAATCGTATTCCGGTTCGCACAAGTGCACTCATAATCTGAGTTAGCTTCAAATACTGCAAATTCTGGGGGCTCGAAAATACACCTTCAAGGTGCTCGACCATCCCTGTGCAGAATTGAACGGTCGTTTCTAACGTATAAACGCTAGAAACACAAAGAGGTCGACGGATACCGTCTACACTTCTTTGTGATTGCCATTCGGCTGAGGAGACACCGAAGGGAGGCACCTACGTGGTGTACCTCCAGGTGGGCTCACTGTAGTCAGGTCGACGTCCACTTAGGACGTCTGACTTTCGGTCTTTGCCTCCTTAGTTCTACAGATCCCGCCGGTGTAACGCTTAGAGGAGCACCTGTGCGGAGAGGTAACGGAGTCGTGGGTCAGGCCCCCACGTAGTTCAAATACTGCTGCGAATCACATCGAGTAGTGAATTCGTGCAGTGAACAACGTGCTGTCGAGCTTCGCAGTGCAACTCTCGGCCAACAGGTCATCTGTTGAAACGTGTCAAGAGAAGCCGCAGATCGACGGTCGTGCCGTTGCACTGCAGTGCGACTCGACGCACAGAGTCAGTGGGCATACTCACGGGATCAGTGCATTTGGAGCCTTTCAACCTCCACTTGCGCCCCTGTCCACTAGGCAATCGACGAAAAATCGATAAAGAAAAGAAGTTTAATTTCTTTCTACGCCGGAAAAATTTACAGTCCACTTTCGAGTTCGTATAATACGAACAAGCGAAATTTCTCTGCTCCTGTTCGTTCGAATAACGACGCCGGGAGCGTGAGAACACAGTCGCGGCATATACGTATAACGTGTTTACGTGTGGCTAACACATAGCCGTGCTTTTCTGATTACAGGAATCCTGGGCCTACCTCAAACCGGCGAGAGTAACGACCGCAGTCTCGCGGAACGGCCAGACCACGAGGCCGAAATAATTTAATTTGTGAGAGGACTTGTGTTTCGTTGTGGAAACAGGGAGGAAGAAGAAGGGAAGTATTGGGAGAGGATGGAGAAAAGGGGGTAGATGAGGAAGGTGCGGGTGTTTAGAGTGACACGAACGACTTGGCAGGATGCAGGACTCTGCCCGGAGGTGGACTCGTGTTTATTTTGATGCGTATACAAAAAGGTCCGGCGGAAGATCCGCCGTCGGAGATCGTTAGGCCCTGGCCAAGTGCGCGGGGCCGTTGAGGATTTCTCAAAGAGAGGCGGTGGGCGCTCCCCTGCAGTTTGGCACGTCCGCGTAGGAGCCGGCACTGAGGAGCTTCTCTGACCTAGTCGGGTAGCGACTGCCGAACATCGGCCTGAGGGCCCGCATTTATACTAAGGGTAGCACGCTAGCGCTGCCCTGAGCCGCCGCTGATTGGTTGCGACCCTTCTATTTTTAGTATACTAAGGGCGCGGTGCGTCGGCGAAAGTCGCGTCGTCGTTCTTGTATTTATTGTAAAACTATTATGTCGCGTTACAAATTTAATTATCACAATTTTCAGATTTCCTTTAATTTTCTGTTTTTTTCATTATCTTTATATTTTTGTAATAAAAGGTCGGTCCGAAAGACCGAAGAAAAGAAAATCAATTTGCTGTCCGATTCACTTCCCCGATAAACTCCCATACCTCTATCCGGACTCCTTAGTTAAAAGTATCAACTTTTTAACAAGATCTTAATTTTGTACTCGGTCATTGTTAAGATAAAATATTAAAATCGTTAACAAACTTTTTATCTACTTCGATATATATCGAATTATACATAAATGACGTCGGTAGATATCAACGATAAACTGGAATAGTTTATATTAGACTGTATTCTGATCGCGATTAAATATTTCCGACTGTTATTTATTTAATTGATTGTTTATATTTCTTTATGAATTGTTGTAATTGCAATTTGCATATATATTTCGATATAAGTTTCAGAAAACGTAGTAACTGCGGAGTTGGAATATGCTATTCAAGCATAAATGACTAGCGAACTTTAATTCTTGCAAATATCGGAATATTTATAAAACTTACGGGATATTCTAACATTCGATAAAGTAAATATAATCATGCTTACAACTCTAACTATGAAACTTGATGATATAATATTTATAAATTGAATAATTATTTTCATAGATAATATTTTGTCGTTGAAATTCTCATTGATTGAGAATATTTCGCCTTCGTGGCATTGCTCTTTTACGTAACAAACTATGAATACAGCAGTGCTAAGTAAAGCAGTGTTTCCGTTGTTAAACTCTAGTAAGAAGAAAAAAGAAAATCAATAGGCAAAGCACAGGTGTGCTTGTTGTGTTTCTTGTCTCCTGTCCCTTTCTTTTCAGCTCTTTTCTTTCCAGGGGATTTATTGGCCGCGCGTAATGTGGCCGGTAGATTCAGTGATTGTGCGTAGAAACAAGTTTGTTTCTCGGGGCAAAGTGACCCCGAGTACGTTGTCGAAGCAGTGTTTTTTACGCAGTATTAAATTATTTCCAGAGCATCGCAGCTCTTCCTGTTTTCTGAATCACGATAATAGAATCATTTGTTCGCCGATTTCAATCTTCGGCCGCGGTAATCTAATTTAATACTTTCTAATCAAATTAATTATTCTTTCAATTTTAAATTCAAACTCCTGGTTACCGGAATTAGAGTCAGTGCATCACCGAAGAGGACTATTGGGCGATGCTCCACGAGCAAACAATGTAAGTATAAATTTATACTTCGAAATTTGTTAATTAAAAATCTCTATAATTTTAACAATAGATTCCAATTGTTTTCTTGCATCTTTCTTACAGTCTCTGGATCCAAATCTAACCAGCAGGACCATGCTGACTGATGAATGACTTTGACTTTGAGTCGCATGCTGTTTGTGTTCCTCTGGTCCCCAACCATGTTGTAGGATGAAAGATCCGAATCAACACGGGTGACCAGTTGTATACTTGCTATTTGTGACGAGTTAAGTGACCGCGGGTATTTTCAATACCCGTGAGTAGTAACATCAACTGTTATATTTTTTAGAGCACGTTTTAGGATCTTCTTGTACTCGGGCTTCTTAATGTTACAAATGAATATTACACATTATGATTATAAAATTTTTACAAATATATATATGTCGGAATCCAATAAAAAGCTTCTGCTCTAATTGAATGTTACTTCACGTTGTGTAAATAAAGTTATGTTGGCTCTAATCGATACTTAAATTCAATCGATGCAAAGAATGCCATCGGTAACGCAAACGAGCGTCAGGTTGGCGTTGACGTTTGGATGTGGCCTTTGAAGGTAGTCGAGTTGGTTGTCTGGTTACCGAAACGTTTGAAAAAAGAAGTATTCGAAAAGAAAAGAACAGAACTGAAACGGTTGCCAGACTATAAAGACGTGCGGTAAAGAAATAGAAAAAGAGATTCCCTGTAAAGGACTCATTCGTAATCGTTGTGCATTCTTTTCTGTTGTTTAAAAGTGTTTGAGTTATAGTTTCAGTTTGTTTAATTAGTTTCGTTGAAAGTTTTAAGAGTAATAGAAATGCGTAGATCTTCAAGACAAAGGCTTGGTCGCCCGAGAGGACCTAATATGTGTCGCCCAGAGGGAATGGTCAGAGAGACGGCTGTTCCGACATATATATAACACAATCTTTATAAAATATATGAAATACTTTTATTAACTTTATATGAGTTAGATGATTGAATAGAAAATGAATTAATATAATGCGAAAACATTATATTTATCATGTGATCGAGTAGAATATGAATGATAATTATTATGACATTGTACAATAATATTTACAACATTAATATAAATTATTAAATATTTATCGTTTACTTAATTAATACATCGTATGGTGTATTTAACGTGCAAGAAGGCACTTCGCGAAAGGTCGATTTTTGAGTCAAAGTAACATGCATTTTATACCACCTTTAATCTTTTCAAAAATTTACTTTGACGACAGAATCGACCAAGGATAATTGAATATTTTGAATAACAATTTAATGAATTCATTTGAATTTTTAAAGTAAATTATTTTATCATGAAATCTTAATTTAAAGTCTTCAATTTTAAATAATTAAATTTCAATTATAATAGTTTTATTGAATAGGGGTGACGTTAATGCCGACCCTTTATAGGATTTATGCGGCGGTGCTGGGAGGGAGGTTGGAGAAGGAGGTGGAGGGGAAAGGCATGATCCCGGAAAACCAGGCAGGGTTTAGGAGAGGGAGGAGCACGACGGATCACATCTATGTGTTAAATCACATTATAGGAGAGATGAGCACAGGGAGGGGAGGCAAGGTGGTGGCGCTCTTTGTGGATTTGAGGGCGGCGTTTGATACGGTGGATAGGAGGTGTTATGGGAGGCGATGGAGAAAAGAGGGGTGAGGGAGGGGCTGAGGGAAAGAGTGAGGGAGATATATGGGGAAACGAAAAGCAGAGTGAGGGTGGGAGGGGAGCTGGGGGAGGGATTTTGGACGGCAAAGGGATTGAGGCAAGGGTGCCCGCTGAGTCCGATGCTGTTTAATATACTGATAGCGGATATAGAGGAGGAGTTCAGGAAAGGAAGGTGGGGAGGGGTTGAAGTGAGGGGAAGAAGGATTTGCACGCTAGCGTATGCCGATGATCTGGTGTTGTTGGCGAGGGAAGAGGAAGAGATGGAGAATATGATCAGGCGGTTGGAAGGATATTTGGAAAAAAAGAGGCTGGAGATAAATGTGGGAAAAACAAAGGTGGTGAGGTTCAGGAAAGGGGGAGGTAGGGAAAGGAAGATGGAGTGGAGATGGAAAGGGAAAAGGATAGAGGAGGTGAAGGAGTTTAGATATCTGGGATATGTGTTTAAGAGGAACGGGGGGCAGGAGGCACAAATTAGGGATAGGGTAAAGAAGGCGGGGGTGGCAATGCGGCAGGTATGGGGGATTGGGAAGAGGAAGTTTGAGAGGGATTGGGGAAGGAGGATGTGGCTGTTTGATACCCTGGTGTGGTCAGTGGCGGGATACGGGGTGGAGGTGTGGGGGTGGAAAGAGAGAGAGGCTATGGAGAGGATGCAGGAGAGGTACATCAGGTGGTCGTTGGGAGTGGATTGGAGGACGCCGGGGTATATGGTGAGAGAGGAGACGAAAAGAATGAAGTTGAGGACGGGGGCAGGAGAAAGAGCATGGAGGTACGAGGAGAAACTAGGCAGGGGAGAGGGAGGGGAGTGGGCCAGGTGGTGCTTGGAGGAGGTGAGGGAAAGGGAAAGGGAAGGGGGGGTGGAACTGTCGGCATGGGAGAGAGAAAGGATGGAGTACAGAAGGGAGAGAGGGGTATGGGAAGGAGGGGAAGGGGAAGGGGGCGAGAGGGGTCGGAGGGATGGGGGGAGGAAGATGGTAGGAGGCAGGAAGAGGAGAGAAGAGCCAGGATAAGGCAGGCCAGGTACAATAAGTGGTACGGGGAGATCGTAGTGGAAGAGGTGCCGAAGTATTTGAGGGCAGGGTGGGGAGAGGAGAGGTACGGGAGGATAGCGAGGTATAGGCTGGGGAACGAGATGAGGGGGGGGGGAGATATTGGGAAGAGGAGGAAGAGAAGAAATGTAGGATGTGCGGGGGGGAAGAAGAGACGTGGGAGCACGTCTTGGATCGATGTGTTGGGGATGCGGCAGAGGAAAAGGGGGTTGGGGAAAAGATAAGGGAAATTTTGGACGAAGAAGGGAAAGGGGAAGGATGGATGAAGAGGCTGGAGGAAAAGAGGAGAGAGAGAGAGGAGGAAAGGGGGGAGAGAGTTTAGGAAGGAGGGAGGTAGAATAGGAGTAAGGAGTGGAAGAAGGAATGGAGTGAAAGGAGGGAAAGGGAAGTCGAAGGCGAAGGAGGCGGGCGTGGAAATGCGGAGGCGTAATTTTAAGGTAATGTTAAGGTAGTTTTAAGGATAGAAAATAGAAAGCGAAACGAGGCAAAGAGAGGCGAAGCGAGCGTATGCGTGGTGAGGCGAGGCGAGGCGAGAGTAGCGAGCGGGCAAGGCATGTAGGTTAAGGCTAGGTTAAGAGTAGGTTAAGCGGCGGGAAGGAGAGGGGAGGATGGGGGGAAGATAGAGAATAAGTTAGTTTAAGGAGGAATTGTAAGGGAAAGGAGAGGAGATATGTAACCCTAAGGGGAACATTAAATACATACTACTACTACTAGTTTTATTGAATAATAGTATTTTTCAATATTAATGATCGAGTCATTTTAATTAAAAATTAAATACGAAATACCATTTAGCTATTAACCAGTTGTTCTAGTCAGGATTTTCAGACTAATTTTTCCGTGCCCGTTGCCTGAGTTCATGCACATGCTCAGGTGCTATTTGCATGAGCGAAAGCAACGGGGCACGATGACTTTATTTATAACAATTCAAGAACATATTGACGACTGACATTGGTTAGTTAACCGTGCGCGACGTACTGTCCACATGTGTGTGTTGTGGTTACGTTGTGGAAGTGCGTCGTTTCAGATGTTTTTATAATTCTAATTTACATACAGAATTTTGTAACATTAGATTTTTATCAATTGTAATAATAATATCAAATTTCAATTTACCATTTATTTGAAAACTGTTGGTCGTAATGGATTGAAATCTTAATATTTTTCAATCTTCAATGAGATATCCATACAATACATTTTATTAATGACTATATTCCATATATTAAAACGTTATTTAAATAAGTACGCAAAGATCACTAGCCCTTGTCAGTGTTGGATGACCAACCTGATGACTCGATGCTGATAAGCGTATCGGAACCGCTGCGTCCAAGATAACTGAGTCAGTCTTGTTTTTCCCATTTCTATTGTAAGTACAGAAGCCTGGATGAAGTACACAAATGTCTCATCCAGGACGAGTTATCGGCAGCCAGTCATCAGGTACTAAGGGTCACCGACATCCCCTCCTCAGCGAAAAGCCTAATATATAAGGACCAGCATCACTAGAGTCAGCGCCTTTTTTCCTTTCAACCCTATTGCGGTAGCGGTCATTCGAAATTGTTATTTCCGTATCGGTCTGTATGTGTCCGGAGTGTACATTTCCCACCCGGATCCCAACACAAATTTGGCGCAGTCGGCAGGACACGCGACACACTACGTATCACTCAGTGTTAACGGAACAATTGTCCCACTGAGCGTGAGTGTCAACCTCAACGGGTTGCGGGTAAAGAAGAACAGGACTTCAGCGGAAATATCCATCGACCCGATCCATCGACTTGGTTGAATCTCCTGAGACCAGAGAAATCTGCAGAAGCCTCAGGCACCAGCGTGGATCAGCCTCAGAATAGGAGAAAAGAATAAGTCGCATCGTAAGTACTCAAATTCGAATACTCAATCTTCCGGCAAGAAACTTCCTATATTTCCAATTCCAATATGTCTCAAGACGAAGCGAATACAACAACTCAAGTACGAAGAGAACGACTTTCACTAGAGTTATTAATTAAGCTATTACCGGAACCATTTGATGGCAATCCTTGTAAACTTCGTTCATTTATAAAGCAAGTTGACTCCACATTTGAATTAGCTACTCCTTCACAAGAACAGATTTTACTAGTATTTGTAAAGAACAGAATCATTGGTAAAGCAGGGGATCAAGTCGTCCTGTCCGGCTCCGGCGCACGGAGCGGCACCCTCGGTGGCCTGGTGCGGCCATGAGCTGCCGGCCTCCGAGGGGTAGAAAAGGGGTCGCGGCGGTTGCGAGTTGGGGCTCGCAGCCGCCACTAGACGCGGCCCCGGGACGGATGGCGGCAGGACGATGTGGCCTCGTCCTGCCGCTATGAGACAGGGCGATTACCGGGGGGACCGTTTGTCCCCCCGCGGGTGGGCGTAAAGCGCGGGCACGGGGAGGATACCGGAAGTATACTTCGAGCGATTCCCGGTATCCTCCCAAATCGTGCGGAAGGGTCACCGTGGGGTTTTTAGTGGGTAGGTCCCGCGCCCGGTATAATGGGCGCGGGGAATCCCACACACCCCTCCCGCCTCTCCCCAAAGAGGGGGAGGGAGTCTTTCGAAGATTTTCCCCACGAAAAGGGATCAAGTCGACATTCACTGTAATCTCAGATCTTGGGCTGAAATTTCTGAACTTTTGTTAAATCTATATCAAGATAAAAAATCTTTCGATCAGTTAATGGAAGAATTAACTTCAATTAAGCAAGAAAGAGGAGAAAATGTTTCGCAATTCTATCAAAGATTAGAAGATCTTTCGTCACGAATTCTCGCGAATATTTATGCTACAGAAACAAATGATAATTCACTATCGGGTAGAATAGCTTTAATTAACGAGCTAACCATGAATCGCTTTGTTTATCACGCGCATCCGCAGGTATCTCAAATGTTAAGGTACCGCGATTTTAACAATATAAATAGTGCCCTTACGGCAGCCGTAGCAGAAGAAAAAGCCCTCCGTTTGAAATACGAACATTTTTCCGTCCTCAAATGCAGAATCTGCCTGCGAACAAACCATACTACAAGTGAATGTCACAGAAATCAAAATCGAATGAAACCTTCTACTAATAGATACGTAAATTTTAATAAACCTAACCAAAATAACACTATCTCTGAACCGAAGCAATGCAGATACTGTAAAAACTTGGGTCATGTTATAGAAGAATGCCGAAAACGGCAGTACAATAACGCAAGACAACATCCGAACTCCTCTAATTATCGCCAAAACCAATACGCCACGCGTACCTATCAGCAACCTTCGAACTCTACAAATAATTACCCAAATCCTGTCTCTAGCCATCGTTCACCAAATCGATTCCTTGTAAGGCAAAATCCCGCTGATACTTTCTCTTCTAATATTATAACTCAAAGGAATCCTCAACCTTCAAATTTTCTCAATGCTCAACAATCATCAAATCCACCGATCTCGATAGAAGACGCTACAACAGAGTTCAATACAATGAGACTTTCATAAATTCTTCAAATTCTTTATCATTCGGTAATGACCAACTTTGTGTTCTATTCGAATCGAAAAATTCTAATGCCGATGATCAAATTTTAAAATTCTTAATCGACACTGGTGCCGCCGTCTCTTTAATTAAAGCACCTAGTATTCATAACTTCAATACAGATACTCGGAAGCCTATGGTATTAAATGGTATCGCACCCAATATTCCCATCCAGACATTAGGCGAAACAAAAATTGAATTAAAGGTTCATGATAAAAGTATCATTGGTAGTTTTCAAGTACTCGACGTTCAAACCAACATTCCTTTCGACGGATTGTTAGGCGACGATTTCCTTCGTACTCATAACGTTAAGATTGACTATTCAACCTCTTCCATCTCATTCGCGTCCATACCATTTTCTATTCCATTACTGCGCAACACCCCACAGAAACATATTTCGACAATACTAATCAACCCACGAACAGAAACCGTGGTTCCCATTACATTAATAAATCCTCATTGCATAGAAGAAGGCATAATAACATCGCAACAGTTAAACGAAGAAAATTCGCTCCTATTACCTAGCGCTATCGTAAAAGTCCAGTGCAAAAATAGAGCCTTTACCACTATCATTAACACGTCACTTAAACCGCAAGTAATCCCAATCCCCGAAATATTTATTGAACCAATCCCGAACTACTGTCATATTTACAACCTCGCTACAAATCAAAAGGAAAATATATAATATCTGTATTTAGCATTTCAGTGAGTTTATCTTGAGTGATTGACCTATTCTGAGTATCCATTTTATTACATATTGTTTGAATGTTAATTGAGTGAAGGTGTTATATATCTCCGTAGTGTTTGCGTTTAAAGAGAAGTTAGAGTGTTCAATTTTAGGTTATTGTTTTAGTTCCATATTACGTTTATAACCCTTAGAATTAATATTGCATTGTTAGTTCATTCGTGTTTCAGTTTCATTTTCATCATGTCTCTCACGGAAGTCAACCTAGAAGGAGGAGAAATACAAACCCAGTCGGGAGTCATGGTTAGAAATGTAAATCAGATGGAGGATTTAGCTAAGAAATATGAGCAGGCTGGAGACGCTGAGGGTGTTCCTGGCTCCCACTTCTTGGATGAAGAAGAGTGTCGAGACACTGGTGCCTGCCTTCCCTGCATCGCTTCCATATTTTAGCGCATCCTCTTCTGAAGAGGATCACAAAATACAGGAGGGAGGTGATGCCCCAGTCTCTAGCTAGAAGAAGAAGTCGTCATGTTCTGGCTGTGCAACATACTCTTGTCCTTCTGATTGTCCTCAGAGAACTCCGAAGCCTTATAAGAGTCTTTATTCTTCAGCTAAGAAAAGATCTCTAAGTCCAAAGCGAAGCCCTGCCCCTGAAACATTTGAGACTGTTCCCAAGAATCTCTACCTCGCTTATGTTAAAGGGGAAGAGATCTTAACTGAAGTGTCTCATATTGCTGTGGAGACTCTTATGGCATTCAGTAAGACTCAAACTGATCCAGAAATTACTCAGTTCTGGAAACGATACGGATCACAGATTTCCCTATGGGGCAATCAGAGAAGACAAGCAATCCTGACACAGACAATATTAGAGATGAGAGTCGGACATCAATGTGCTGGAAGCTTCATTAAAGGAGTGGGAATGGGGAGAGAATTAGCAGAAAAATCGCTATATGAATCTGCACTCCTCAAAATTCAGAACACAGCTGACTCCATGGGAGCTGTTCTTACTGAAGTAATTGCACAGAAAAAGTCGCATGATTTACAAACACTTGAGCTTGTGAGTCAAGTTAACAATGCCTCAAAAGGAATTGCCCAGACCGTTAAGGACATAGAGTCCACCAGATTAGTGCAAGTAAGAAATGAGACTATGTCTCTACCTCCCGCACCCGTCATACAGTTTTCTGCAAAATCTCCTCGCCTAGTTCTACCAGCTTCTCTCCCAACACCAATACATCATTCATCCTCTCCTGACTCAGACGACTCTGAGATCATTGCAGGAATTCCTACCTACGTTGAGGTAATGGAGGAGGATGGAACATATATCTCACCAGGATTAACTGTAAAATTCGACAAAGATGTTCTCACTTCTATTGATACATCTAAACCCGGTTTTCAACCATTACGAATGCTTCTAGGCGTCCCAGCAGCGGTAGGGCAATTTGTTTTCAATAAGAATCTTCGTTTGCTAGAAAAGAAAGAGTCTAGTCTTCAGTCGACGTAATAGTTGTACGAGTTTCTTCCCTTCAATAAAGTGTTGGAATCCAACATCAGTCCACCCCAGAAACTTGTACGCCCACAATTAGAGTGTGAATTAAGTCAGTTATGTCCGGGCGTCGGAGGAAACCCGGGGAGTCCTGTCTAGTTTAGGTCGCGTCCGGACATTGAGAATGAGAACCGTGGAGTGTTTGTTTGCTTGATTGAGTTTTGTAATGTTTTAAATATAGGGTTAGGTAGGTAGGTAACTTCCTTTCTGGTATGTGTGCTAAATCTAAGTAGGTAGGGTCAGGGCACCGCTGCCACATTAGTTACTCGGGTAGGCGCGTTTTCGCGTGGCAGTTCTGTTCCTGTAGTTACGATTTCGAGGGTAGAAATCTTGCTGATTCAAACGGTTTCAGCTGTTTGTTTCGGCTTTATTTTCGACTCCTCGAGTCGCGCGACTCTTAAAGTCGCTCTCTCGCGCTCGCACTCGTGATTAGGTCCCTTTCGAAACGTTCGTCCCGCTCGAGATTCACCACGTATGCTCGACCAACAATTCGTATATTGTTGGAAGACTACCTATTGCACAAAGTCTCGAGCCCAATCTTAAGTAAGTTTCAGGCGAAGAAAGAAAAGGCTCTCAATGGACTGAAGAGGCCCTGACAAACTGTTTCAAGAGTGGGCTGCAATAAATGGCTCTGCATCTTCAACTTCGGATGAGAATGGAAAGTCATTCCTGTTACTACTTTGTCACTTAACTCGTCTGTAGTCGTAGTTAGTTTATTTTTCAGGCTGGCTCACGTATGCATGTACTTCGTACATGATTGCACCATACATGCCAGCCATAAGGGCAACTCGAGGTTATGATATACGTAGAGTTGCGAATATGCAATTACCGCGTTTGCTTGTAGAGTTGCGAATCACTGTTCTTCGCGTTTCCTTTTCAGGGTAGTGCTGTGTCTTGACACGATACGCGATTGGTTTTTTGCAATCTTAAATACTGAATGTTTGCTTAAAAATAGCGTTGCGAATTATTGATAAACGTGATTGCTTGTAAAGTTGTGAAATACTATTTTTCGCGTTTACTTTTCAGGGTAGTGTTGCGAATAATCACCATTCGCAGTTGCTTTTGTTGAGATATTACAATGTCTATCCTCGACCGTTATAGTTTTCTTATGTATGTGTGT